TTACATTTGTCAAATTATCAATAGCAAATGTCAAAATGACATGACATGACAAACCTTGGCAATCTTGCTTCCTTGATGTTGGCAGCAACTTTTGGTTTCTTTCCCACATTAGGGTTTTTGTTTAAAATATTTACCCCCTAAGTTCAATTGCGTGAAAATATATAGCCTTAAGCGTAACGTAAGTGTAGGGTTTCTATTAAAAAAAGAATTATCCAAAAATATGCTGTAATTGCTGACATCTTAGGCAACAAAGAAGTGTGTGTTTACGCGTTATTATAATAGTATAAATTATTACTAAACAGAAAAGCCTTGTTTAAGAAGAATAATATTAATAATTATTACTTGAATGTTTTTTAGTCTAGGTTTGTAGTGATATAGAACATACATTTTATCATTGCAAAAGATAACAAGATTTTACAACTGTACTTAATGATTAAATATACATAAAGAGAAATAGCGAACATATCTATACTAATATTATAAAGAGGAACGAATTGTATTTTTTTTTAAAGAGAAAGAGGTAAAATAGCGGCGGGAACACAAAGGTGGTCAACGACGCTCATAGACATCCACAACACCAAAGGAACTACAAATGCGTTGCCGGCCTTTGAGGAAATTGAAGGCTCATTTTTGTATGTTTTGAAATAACTCAAAAACTATTTGGTCAATTTCAAAAAATCTTTCACCATTAAAAAGCTATGTTATCACTAAGTAAAATAGGCTATGTTTTTTACTTTTTCTTAGCTCTACAAAGAGGGGGAGAAACATTATTTTTATAAATGACATAGAAGATTAAGTGAAGAGTATGCGATGGCTGATGCTGCCTTTATAAGCATTAGACTTTTAATAAATTCTTTATATTAGTAATGAATAATAGCATCAAATCAATAGTATCACAATAAAAGTGTTTCATTATTATAAAATACTTTATTTTAATTATACATTAAATAAAAATATGTTTATAAAATGTATCACATCACTAACAATGAAATTCCACTAACATTACACTAGAAACAAAATAGTGTTGTTTCTGTTTCACCATAAAGAAAGAGAGGGACAACAATGTGTTTAAAACATATGTTTTGACAGTTGATATACAGTAACATGTTAACAATGCAAATCTTTTGCACTTTGAATACATTCTAAACATCAACAATAGGCCAACAAAACAAACACTACATTATAATGATGAGTAAGCTTAACAGTATTCAACAACTAAAAATACTTGTGTTCTGATTTTTAATACTATTCTAAGGGCCTGTCCCATCACTGTCTGATAAAGGCTCATAATGACATCTCTGTCAGATAAGGTAACAAAATCCAATATTTTCATCACATATTTTACATGTTGGATTGTTATCAGACAATTTGCAATTTGGTGGGACAGACCCTAAGTATTTTTTTAATATCCTGACCTAATCCTAGCCTAGTCATGTGAGCACTGCAGTTGCCTTGCTATGCCCCTCTATATCTAAAATTTTGTTTTGCTCAGAACTTCACAATGTTAAGAGCCTACAAGATAGGATGATGCATGGAGGAACTGCACCCCCTTCTTAGAGTATTAACAAATGAAAAATAGATATGAAAACTATTATTAATAAGACCATTTTAATTGTAACCCTAGAAATAGCGCAGATTTAATCTAGGCTAACATCAACTAGCACTACCAACAATAGTATTGTTTTGCAGAGACAAAATGATTTACAATCTTTTTGACAAAACTGAGATAACAATATATTCTTGTACAGTAGAAGACCACTGTAATTCAATGATTTTATAGAATAGTAATACTAAGAGCAACTATGTTACCTTGACCTAGCAAATAAAAAATGTAATTAACCAGTAAATAAATACACTTGTAATTAAGAACCAATTATTTAAGATCTATTTTAATCATAAAATGACTATAGAACTTTATAATGTTAATTTACTTGCCATTGATTTAAATTATTTAACTAACCAGTTAACCATCTTTTCGGTTTCAAATTGTCGTTGTTAAGTTCTATCGTCCGTGAATGCTTACCTCAAGCATAAATTAGGTTCTATACGATAATAAGATTCATATTTTCAACATGAATGACTCAATATTACAGTTTTACGAATCGGTTGAGAGTTCAACAAACTGTATTTTCATCGTTTCTTGAGTCATACATTGGAGATGTTAAAAGAACTCCAAATCAAACAGCATTCGAACTTTAGTTTAGTAATACATTTAAAATAAAAAAATAAAAAAGGAAATTCAACTCACCCTTGGCGTCACAATCAACACAGTATTTGTTATCTTCGTCCTTTAGCATTTGCATCAATATATTCTGACATCGATCTTGAATCTGTTTAGCACGATCTTTTTCACTTTTAGAAGACATTTTAGTTATTTATTTATTGATATTAAGAAAATATGAGTGGATATAGTATGCCAACTTATTTGAGACGTGAAGACAAGAAGCAAAATCTACACATATTTCTACCCATAAAGTGAAAAGTGACAGCAATATTATTTTTTAGTGCTGTGCCTTGATTTTAATATTTCATCACAGTGTAGTCTATGGTAAGTCGACTAGCTTAAGGTAGAGAAAGACCCAAAGAAAGTATGAATAGATTGTTTAAAGAGGATATGCTTAAGAAGGACGTGGATTTAGATATGACGGCTGATAGAAATGTATGGAAGAGCACCACATACCGTGCCGACCCTCCGCAGGTGCAAGTATTGCGATAAAAGTAAAACTACAGTCCCATAAACATGATGAAATTTAAAAGAAAAGCAAAAGGTAAAATTTAAAATTAATACTACCCAAGAATACTACGTACTAATAAGTGGTAGTAGCGGCAACTTACATACATTTCAAAATTGGTTTATACCTCTGGTATAAAATTCTAATCACTAGAAGTCAATGATTGTTATGACATTGGGCTGTCAAGCCGTCATCTTTGAGTTTTTTGTCAAACGTCAAACAAGTGCAAATTGCAAGTGCAATTTTACGATTTCTTTGTTTTGCGACATATTCTTGCCAATTCATTTACTGTGCCGTAACTATTACAAAGTTATAAAATATAGATCGTTTATAACGAAGTATGTGTATTTAACTTAAAGTCGTAGAGTTCGCAGTGTTTTTTGTTTTGTTGGACCATGGGGAATCAGCTGGTGGGAGTAGCTCCTTCTCAGATATTCCCTGTAGAACATTACCTTAGCGATCATGCTGATCTATCGTTCGACCAGAGGTAAATCTAGAATTTTATTTCTTTTATTTCATACGACAAAGTTTTTTTTACAACTGTATGAATCGTAGATAATTTATATTTATTTTCTACTAGCTGTGGCTCGCGACTTCGCCCGCGTAAAATTAAAAAAAAAATACAGCCTATGTTACTGATAACATAGCTTTTTAATGGTGCAAGAATTTTTTGAGCCCAGTAGTTTGATATTTCAATACATACAAAAACACAAAAACACAAATCTTTAATTTATATTAGTATAGCTATAGATGTAACATTCAATGATTTGTAACATTTTTTTTTCAGTCTTGGTTCAACGAGGTTCCTTAAAGTAGCAAGAGCTAGATCTCGAGAGGGTTTGATAGTAGTGAAAGTATTTGCAGTCCATGACCCATCATTGCCACTCGCTGAACATAAAGAGAGAATATTGAAGATAAAAGAACAGCTGGTTTCTGCCTTCAACTGTTTACCATTCCAGAGAGTTATTGTAAGTTTATGCTAAGACTAGCTGTTGCCTGTGACCTCAGCCATGCAATATTAACATACAAAATTAGCCTATAATATGCCCGCTTATGTCAGCTAACCTTCAGTGACAGTCCAATCGAAATCAGTCCAGCCTTTTCAAACATTACCCGGAACAAATGCAGCTTGAGGACAGACCGACAGACAAAAAAAAATTAAATGCGATTTTTGTTATCAGCAATGCGAATATGACATCTTTCCGAAATTTGGATTTTTTCTTTTGATATTACAAACAGACACTCAAATTTTAATTATATGTATAGATGTACAGATAGTATAACAATAAAATAAACACCAGAGGGATACATAGAGACCACAGGCTTTCATTGCATAATTGTTAGATAAACCAAAATCATTACTAGTCAATGTTAAACTGCTAATGATTATTTCAAGTACTTAAAAATATTATTTCTTGTTCCAGTTAACAGATAAAGCAGGTCTTTTAATGCGAGAGTATTGCAAATGTAGTGTCTATGATAGGATGTCAACAAGACCATTCCTCACAGTGTTGGAGAAGAAATGGATAACATTCCAAGTACTGTATGCATTGCATCGGATGCACAAACTTGGCATCTGTCATGGTGATATTAAGGTTTGTATAATTATTTTTTGCTCCAAAGTTACATAAACACTTTGAATCCATTTACCTTAATTTTTAAAATCTCATAGCAATTGTTATACCTATAGCTAACAAATTGCATGTGTTATGCAATTGAAAAAATGTGCTAAGGATTATGGACCAAACAAGAATTTTCTCTACACTAAGATATTTATAAATGCCTAGCTTTTTACTACTTTTTGATTTTTAGAATTAAAAAACAAAAGCAAATAGCCTATGTGTTCTTCCAGACTAATCTCAACATCTATGCCAAATTTCATCGAGATCCCTTCAGCTGTTTAGGCAAACTCTAACAAACATCCGTCCATCTAAACTTTCGCATTTATAACATTAGTAAGATATGAAATGATAGAATGATAATCAAAAACTCAAATCTATTTAATGGGATGTCCATGGTTTTACTAAATGTTTTAGAAAAAGTAGGCAAAATTAGGCACATTAAATTAATGCATTGTGCATAATTAAATTAGGCACATTGTTGCATAAAATTTCCTCACCCCTGACCAATACTATAAAGGGTGATTAAATAACTTATGTAAATGCCACATGCTTATCATTTTCAATATTGTTTGTTGACTGTTTATCAAGATCTGTCTTAGTTAATTTTATGTTGAGTGACTGAATCCAGAATGAATAATACTTATTTGTCTTTTTCAGTTAGAGAATGTAATGGTGACGTCATGGCTGTGGGTACTGTTGACGGATATAGCATCTTTTAAACCGACTTTCTTACCGGACGACAACCCCGCTGACTTCAGTTACTTCTTTGATACTTCACGTCGCAGACTGTGTTATGTTGCACCGGAGAGATTCGTCAGAGCGCCCGATCCTAGTTATCGACCATCTGTTAGTATCAATCTTACTATCTTACTTCTTACTAATATTATAAATGCGAAAGTTTAGATGGATAGATAGATGGATGGATGGATGGATGGATGAATTGATGTTTGTTAGAGTTTGTAGCCTAAATGGCTGAACGGATCTCGATGAAACTTGGCATACACGTAGAAGATAGTCTGGAAGAACACATAGGCTACTAACTTTTGTTTTTTTGAAATCCACGCGGACGGAGTTGCGGGCGATAGCTAGTCTTATTAATATTATAGTATGTAATTGTATAATTTGTAATAGATGTAGAGCATAGTGTTGAAGAACACATAAGCTGCTTACTTTTATTTTGTTTATTACACGATGACGCAATCGAGGGAAGATTAAAGACGTGATTTTTAATTATATTTGATGTAAATATTTTTTAATTATAATAGCTTTACTATCGCCCCAACTTTAGTTCCTTTCCTACCGACGTTTTTCTTATGAGAAAGGATGTGAAGGGAAAGTGGATTTGACGGCGGAGGAGACGGATACGAAGAGGAAAAATCCTCTTTATGTGCTTCTCCTCTTCTATCCTCATTAAGGGTAGGCAACGCATCTTAATTGCAGATGTCTATGGGCAGAGATCGCTTCGCCATTTTGGGGAATTCAGGTGGTCACTTATAACTTATAAAAAAAATCGTTTTATGTGAAATTTTTTTCTAAGATTTTGTAGAGAATTTTGAGTGACAAAACATTAAACAAACGTAGTTTTGCTCTAATATTTTAATTAATCAGAAAAATGTAATATTACAGGGTGATGATAGATCTGGTGGTCTGCTACTTAGCGAGTCACCCTGTAAAGTTGGTGAATTAGTACCAAGTATGGATATATTCTCCGCTGGGTAAGTTAACTATAATTATTTATGGGCTAACATAAAACAAAACATGAGATAAATCACGACTCATAAGTATTTATATATATTTTTCTATTAAAAAGTACCCAAAAGTTTTTTTAAAACAAGCAATATATGTAGTAGCTCAGTGGGGACGTATATTGAGCTGGTGATGATGATGGTGATGATGATGATGAAGATGATGATGTAGATGTTGCTTGCATCTACTTTTACTAAATAAATAAGGCAGATACTTAGTTAAAATTGAATAATTTTATTGAGTCCTGAGGTTATTCACTTAAGTACTAACTCTTAGTGGAAACAGGAATTTTATGTTAAGTACTGACGTTTTTCAGCTGCGCTCTTTTAGAACTTTGGAACGAAGGTACACCAGCTCTGGATCTGCCGGGGTTACTGGCATATCGTAACGGTGAGGAAAGACCGTCTACTATGACTTTACCGGAAGGCTCGGAACCAGGGTTGAGAGAATTGTTACATTCTATGACTGAAAGAAACCCTAAAGATAGAAAAAGTGCAGAAATATATCTGGATGAAGCTAGGGGCAAGTATGTTTTAATTTTGTGTGAATTTATTTACTTTTTACTTTTTGATTATACTATTAATAGTACTTTATCCACCATTACATACTAAAGTCCAATTTAAATTGTATAATTAGCATTAAAATTGTATGAAAATAAATGTTTTATTTATTTATTTAATCTTCAGTCTTTCATATTTACAAATACTTTTTATAATAGAGGCTTTCTTACTAACAGATAATGTAAAATTACTTTTTGTATCTTAAAACCTTTACTTTCAACATTATCTGTACTAATATTATAAAAAGAAGAGATTTGTATTTTTTTTAGTATTGAAATAACTCAAAAACTACTGTGCTGATTTTAAAAAATATAACACTGTTTAAAAAGTAATTTATCTGTGAGTAACATAGGCTATGTCTTGTTTATTAAACGCGGGTAAAGTCGCTAGCAACATCTAGTATAAGATAGTTTTAATATAAAATTTCAGATTATTCCCAGAATATTTCTATTCATTCTTACAATCTTATATGTTGATATTCTCCGCACAACCAATATTACCCGCCGACGAGAAAATACTTCGAATACATCAAGATATTAAAAATATCATAAAAATATTCACACAACCCTCAGATGCGAAGAATTATCAAGATTTAGTCGAAGAGACCACAGATAATAGCAACACAGATAATATAGAGACATTAATGAAAGAAGGTTTTAAGGTTATGAATATAAATGTGACAGATTTTGAAGAAGAAAATGATAACAATGCTCCGGAGAAAAATGAAATGGGTCCAGACAGTGAGGGGTTGATTTTGATCACTTCGTTGGTGACGTCATGCATACGAGGTCTACATCATTGTACATCTAAATTATATTGTTTAGAAATACTGCAGCTGTTATGCGAGAATTCTAGTTCAGAGACAATATTGGACAGGATATTGCCCTATATTGTGAGTATATTTTAATATTTGCATTACCTACATCATTGACTGACACTTTCTGAATGTGAACTTAGTTTTTTACTAGTCATCATTATGATTTCTACGACCATCGGTGGCTCAGTGGTTTGAGCACTTGACTTGTATTCCACAGATCTTGGGTTCAATTTCCGCCATGTAGCAACGTGATTTTCGATTTAACGTTTTTTCATATGTACGTAATTTACCCGACTTTCTTACGGTGAAGGAAAACATCGTTATGAAACCTGCACATATCGGAGAAGAAAATCAAAGATATGTGTGAAGTTAACCCACAGTTTGTTGCCTAGTCACCGAACTTAGGGTAGGCTCCAACTTTAGTCCCTTTTCCTTCCTACTCTTTTTTCCTAAGAATAGGGTGGGAAGGGAACGTGGATTAAAGGAAGGGGAAATCCACTTTACGTGCGTTTCCTCCGTTTATTAAGGGTAGGCATCCGCTATTGCGGATGATTATGGGTAGCGGCCGCTTCGCTATTATGGCGGATTCAGGTGGCCGCTTGTTTGCCACCTTATGCTATAAAAAATATACGTATTTCCCTGGTAGATTCATTTGTCGCACGATGGTACGGCGCGCGTGCGCTCCGCGGCCGTGTGGGCGGCGGCGCGCTGCGTGTCGCGCGTGTGTGCGCCGCCGCGCGCCGCCTGCAACGTCTTCCCCGAGTACGTGCTGCCGGAGCTGGCGCCGCGCGCTGCCGACCCCGCGCTGCCCGTCCGCATCGCATACGCTAATAATATCGGTCAGTATGTTAATAACGTTGTTTTTTGTAATAAACGGCTTTATCCGTATGAAATTATAAAATTTTTATTTTGTTTGTTTACATTTGTGAAATATTCAATTGCGATTAAAATTCAAATGCACAAAAATAACGAAGGCTTTTCCCGTATTACGGTTTTTTCCAATTTATTTACTACCTAAGTTTAATAGCGTGAAAATAAATAGCCTATAGCGTGTCATAATCGTAGGACATTTTATTAAAAAAAATATTAGTTCAAAAATATGCTGTGATTGCTAACTACATAACAAAGAAGTGTGTTTACGCTTTGTTATTATAGATTAGCATACTGTACCATGGGTTTATCAGTCAAAAATCTAAGGGGGAAGGAAACCCGATAATAAAGGATCTAGTAAAAATACTTTTTTTATTCTATATTTTTATTGAAAAACTGACAATTTATTCTACCCTCTACCGACTTCCATGCACTATACTGTCTACTAAACTATTTTACAAATAAATACGTTTATTACTTCATTTATTGGTTTTTAAAATAACAGTGATTGAGTTAATTTTGTATGCAATAATAATAATATTTCGACAGCGAAGTTGGCGGAGACCGCGGTGAGATTTTTGGACCAGACGCAAAACATGGCGGACAAAGAGACGGCAAATATCAACTACGAAACAGAATTATCAGCACTACATGAAATGGTAATAACATTTATTTATCTGTAATTATTCCTAACTAGCTTTCAACCGCGACACCGTCCGTGTAAACTTTTGCATTTATAATGTTAATAAGATTTATTGTCATATCCAAAATTCCTAATCTAAAGAGTGTCATTTTTCCCAGGTTCGATCAACGGTATCTTATCTTCTAACAGACTCTCAAGCAGTCGTCAAACGGGCATTAGTTGAGAATGGTATCACGAAGCTGTGTGTGTTCTTTGGTAAACAGAAAGGTAAGTTTTTTTATAGTGATATTGATTTTGATATGTAAGCAGAAATTTAATTATGTAACAATGACTTAAATTACAAATTCCATTCTAACATTTGACTGATTGCAAGGCGCCTTTAATAGTGTTAGGAATAAAATTAGTACCGTGCTGTAGAATTGGCGCAACTCTAGATTATCGGCATAAACGTCACGTCCCTAGCTGACAGCTGACAGCTGTCAATGTCACTAGAAGTATGCATAGATTGGCGCGCATCCTAAGTCCTGACGAGAAGTGTTGCTCTGAGTTTAAAGCGACATTATCAGTTAAATAAGTTGTCTAAAAATAGCGATAGTTGGCACGTCAAAACAAGTGTATTCTTCTGTTTCACGTGCCAATCCAAATCCTGAGTTCTGAATATTAGTTTACTAATTGTATTACTAGCTTTCCCCCGCCACTACGTTCGCGTGGAATTAAAAAAATGAGTAGCCTATGTCTCTACATCTACGGCAAGTTTCGTCGAGATCCATTCAGCTGTTTAGGTTACCAATTCTAATAAACATCCATCCATCCATCCATCTAAACTTGTGCATTTGTGATATTAATTACGTAAAATTTGAATATCTTACTAATGTTATAAATGCCAAAGTTTAGATGGATGGATGGATGTTTGTTAGAGTTTGCCGCCTAAACTGCTGAACAGATCTCGATGTTTGATATAATCTAAAAGAGCACAAAGGCTACTTACTTTTAATTCCACGCCATGTCGCGGGCGAAATCTAGTATATATAAGTGTATTGTTAGCAAACGACGTGATCCTGTCGCACATGGTGACGTTCCTGAACGACAAGGAGGAGGCGGCGCTGCGCGGCTGCTTCTTCGAGCGCGTGGTGGGCGTGGCCGCGTACGTCGGCCACCACGCCGCGCCCATCCTGCTGCCGCTGCTGCAGCAGGTAACCATTTACTACTAAATCTTCATTTCACATCTGATAATGAACAATAACACACTTTAATTGTGTATTATCCGGCTCGAAGGACCACTAGTATGAAGATAACAAACAAAAATACTACGACCATAAGAAAACAAAATGTTATTATGAATATAATTGTAACAAGAAAATAATACGTCAAAATTGTATATGTCAAAAGAAAAGTAATAAGAAAATGGCGATGCATCCCGGGGCCAGTTTGTTATCCTAATCGACCAATTGGATCTAGTGCTGGACAGCAACTGTGTCAATTCCAATATGTAGTTATATACTGGAATTGTCACAATGTATTCCAGTTAGGGTGTTCACATCTAAATAGTGGCGGCGCTTTCAATTTACATGCAATATCACGTATATTTAACCAGTTAGAACGCATCTTCTATATGAAAATTAATTTAATTTGAATTCAACTTAGTTTTTGGTATTGAAATGTCACTTTTGTCAATTTTTGTATATTTCCAGGGCTTAACAGATAGCTCTGAATGGATAATAGCGAAAGCTTTACGCGCGACGAGTAGCCTGGCCGAGTTGGGTTTGTTGCCCAAACAGGCGCTGTGCGACCTGCTCGCAGAGAGTGCCGTCTACCTCGCACATCCCAACCTCTGGGTAAGTGCGACAAGGATAGCATCACATAGATCAGTTCCGTCTATCAATCGTCAAGCAACCGTCTAACAATCTCTGAGTAAGAGTGATAAGGATAGAATGACTTTGATATAAATGCTTGTTTCGTCTCTTACGCACATACCATTTCTGGGTAAGAGCGACAAAGATAGTATAATTTAGCACTCTTTCATTTTTACTAACTATATTTTTGCCTTATTATTCTGTTTTAGATTTCATGAGTAACTCGAAATTGCTTTAAATCTATTTAATTAAATGTTTTTATTTTCAGATTCGTCATGAAGTCTGCGGCCTGGTGTCGTGTGTTGCCAGTCTATTGAACCCAATTGACGTCAACTGTAAAATACTGCCGCTAGTGTGGCCACATCTTAAACATAAATTAATTCAGGTAATTATTATAATAGTATTGTAAATGTAATGTGAGCGTCGGTGCCTCAGTGGTTTGAACACTTGACTTGTAATCTACAGGTCTTGGGTTCGAATCCCGCCATGTACCAATGTGATTTTCGATTTTTCGAATTTTCATATGTACATAATTTACCCGACGTTCTTACGGTGAAGGAAAACATCGTGATGCAACCTGCACATATCGGCGAAGAAATTCAAAGATATGTGTGAAGTCAACCCGCATTGCAGCGTGGTTGACTATGGCCTAGTCACCCCTTACTTAGGGTAGCCTCCGAGCCCCTCGGTGGGGACGTATAGTGAGCTGGTGATGATGATGATTGTAAATGTAATAATACCACTTTATTCTTATTAAGGAACTAATGTATTGTTGCATTTGATAAATTTACTTCCAGATTTTATTCCCTCTTTCTATGTATAAAAAAATAGAGAAATGTTTTTTAAATATGTGTCTGTGGTGGTAGCTAAGATTAGCTTCTGTTTTACTTCTTTTTTATCCTATAAGCTATATTATGTATATTTAAACATAAAAAAATGCGAGGAATGATTGATGTACATAATTAAAATGTTTTACTTCTATATAAAAAGGTGGAGAGAGCAGAGCTGCTGCTGGAGAGCCTCGCGGAGCCCATTCCTCGGAAGGTGCTGGATGCTGTCCTGCGGCACGGGGACGTGGACCGCCTCGTGCAAACCCTCAGGGAGAGGAGGAACACCAGGCTCAGGGTGAGTTATACAGGGTGATTTATTGCTGAAAAATATGAATATGAATTACTAGATATCGCCCGCGACTCCGTTCGCGTGGAATTAAAAAAAAAAACAAAACTGAGTAGCCTATGTGTTCTTCCAGACTATCGTCTACGTTTATGCCAAATTTCATCGAAATCCGTTCAGCCGTTTAGGCTACAAACTCTAACAAACCTCCTTCCATCCATCCATCCATCCATCCATCCATCCGTCCATCTAAACATTCGCATTAGTATTAGTATGATTAGGAAAAAAACCATTTGAGAACTCTGTTAGTCAAATTTCAATAAAATTTCAGAAACTCATAAACTGGTAGGATTTATAAAAATTTATGATGAAAGTATGTCAAATCAAGTCCTATAGTAATACAATAGAACGTCGATAACACAAACCTCCGTAACTTAAAAACCACTATAACTTAAAAAAATAATATGTTCCCTTCCTATCAGAGTCCAAAACCTCTACAACATAGACCCTTGATAACTTAAAACCTCTATAACTTAAAATATTTTGTGTCTCCCTTGAACTTTAACTTATCGAGGTTCTACTGTTACTATATTCTAAAGTGACAAAAAAAACGAAATCTGACTTTTCTGTTGCCAGCTTAGGTTTTGAACGAGAATTTGTTGGCTAGAAATTAAAAAAAAAACTAAGTAAGCAGGCATTGTGGTCTACATCTATCGCTCGTTCCGGAGATACATAGTAACAATGGCCAGAGGCCTAATTTTAGTCCCTTTCCCTTTCCACCCTTTCCTTAAGAGGAAAGTATGGGAAGGAAAAGTGGATTTGACGGTGGAGGAGAGGCATAGGAAGAGGAAATGTCCTCTTTATGTGCTTCTCCTCCGTCATTTAAGGGTAGGCAACGCATCTGCAATTGCGGACGTTTATAGACTGCGGTCGTTTTCCATTTCGGAGGATTCATGTGACCGCTTGCTTGTTTGCTACCTTATATTATAAAAAAAAAACATCCATACAAACTAATGCATTTTAATATTAGTAAGATGAACGAATATTGTAGATCTTACTAATATAAATGGATGGATATTTGATAGAGTGTAACCTAAAGTGCTGAACGGACCTCGATGTAATTTCTCATACATATATAGAAGTGTAGTTTTCCACATAGGCTATTAACTTTTGTTTTTTTTTAATTACACGCAGACGGAGTCGTGAGCGAAAGCAAGTGTAATATAATTTGACATATAAAATTTATTTCAGGTAAAACAGGGTACAATGCCTCAGTACTGTGAGATGGGACAGCAACTAAAGAATCTATTTAGAAGACTGGCCTCTGATGGTAAGTCATTGTACTTTTACTATCTCTTTTTAATCCTAAAATTATACCCGTTTTTACAATCTTTATTAATTAACTAGCTGTTCCCATGCGGCTTCATTCGCGTGGAATTATAAAATCTTTATTTTATTGTTTACATTTGTCAAATTATCAATAGCAAATGTCAAAATGACATGACATGATAACAAACCTTGGCAATCTTGCTTCCTTGATGTTGGTAGCAACTTATGGTCCTTTTCCCACATTAGGGATTTTATCCAAAATATTTACCCCATAAGTTTAATAGCGTGAAAATGTGTAGCCTAAAGCGTGATGCTAGTGTAGGGCTTTCTATTTAAAAAAAAGAATTATTCAAAAATATGGTGTAATTGCTGACATCTTAGGCAACAAAGTGTGTGTTTACGCTTTATTATAATAGTATAGATTGTTCTTATGTTCAATAGGATTAAGTATAATAATAGTAATAATTATTCAATTTTAATTTCAGGTATGACGGAACATGTAGAAAACCAATTGTTAGCTATGAGTGCACATCTTATCAAAATACAGAGCTGTACAACGCAGGTATTTAAATTATATCGATTACTTGATTTGTCGTTTAAGATATTTATTTCTCTAAGAATATACTTACACTTAACGAGAAACATTTTTTTTTTACATTTACAATTTACATCAGTAGTCTAGTTTATTATCATCTATATTAGGATTTCATTTTCTTAACATTTTTTTTTAATTTAATTTTAAATAACGACATTTTATTTTCGTCTCTGATAACTTTAGGTAAAGTATATAACTGTACTCCCGCAAATATTATACAAAGCTTACAGTACAACTTATCTAGACAAAGTCATATTTTACCATTGATGTTGGTAAGAACGTGGGTAATATGGTATAGCATTTCACTTGTAACCTGCTGGTCCTCGGTTCGAATCTTACCATATACAGTCGCGGAAACTCGCGGAGTTCCAATTTAAGAAATATTGTCTTGTTCATTGCGGTGACAAACTCCGCCTCTTCCTACAAATAACTAATGAGATATCAGTGCAAAGAAAGGGATAATAAAAACAAACTAACTGTGTAACATTAACCGAATTTTATACATACACATGCGTTGTATTGATTATTGTTGCACGTCTCGTTTAAAAATTGTCAAGCGATTGTAGCATTAAAGGTGGGCACCGCCAGATTCCCCGATTGTACCAATGTGATTTAGATTTTTCAATTTCATACGCACATTTTTTATAGTGACCGACGTTCTTATAGTAAAGGAATAACTTAGGGTAGGCACTGAGACCCTGGATAAGCTGTCGACAAAAAGAATTCGCTTCGCTTTCGCATTTCGCTTCGCTTTCATTCCGCTTCGCTTTCGCATTTCGCGTTTATTTCGCGTTCGGTTTCGCGTATAGTATATAAGAGACTCTGCAGCACATCTCGGAGGCGCCGGGGCGGCTGTCGCTGGCGGCGGGCGGCGCGCTGTCGCGCTCCGTGCAGCTGCACGCGCCCGCAGACTGCGTCGACGTGTACGCCACGCAACACAGGTCAAACATTTATATTACCTTACTTATATACACTTAAACCATATTATGATAGTTACTAAGCAATAAGTTCTCATTATTTAGAAATTCTCCCATATATATCTATATATATAATAGAATTGGAGTGTCTATAATATCAAAAGAAAAATTCCAGTTTTCTGAAAGATGTATTTCGTTGTTGATAACTAAAATCGCATTTAATTTTTTTGTCTGTCTGTCTGTCTGTCCGCAAGCCGCGTTTGTTTCGGGTAAACTCCGAAACGGCTAGACCAATTTCGATCACCCGGGCCACCGAATGCATAGATTTGATTGGCCCAAAGGTAAAAATTAAACAAGCTAAGTGTCAGATATTATTGTTGCTTTATCAAAAATCAAGTATAAATTAATTTGAACAGACGCAGTCAGAAGACTTCTCTATCACAAGAGGCGCATATGAACACTGAGTGGCAACACATGTTCGGACATTCGCAGGAACACCCCGCCAAGTGTAAGTTTTTAGTCTTTTCTCTATGTTTTGCGGATTTTATGTCCGTTTTAAATTAATGTATTCGTATATAGATAAACAAAGATATATCCTGCAAGCATAAGTATAAATAGACGCGCCGGCATCCTAATTTTACGCCCTTTCTCTTTTTACATTTTCTTAAAAGGATGGGGATTTCACAACATCCTATTATGTGCGTCCCATCCGTCAATTAAGGGTGTGCCTCTGCGGATGTCTATGGGCAGCGGTCGCTTCGCCTTTTAACAAATTCAAGTGACCACTCGCTCGTTTGCCACTTCAGAATATACATAAATAAATAAATTATGAGCTCCCCAATACCTTTTTAAGAATTCGGTCCTCTGCCTTTTGCATCCTTATCAATGTGTTATTAAAAAAACCGAAAAAACACAGTATATAAGGAAGAAAGAGTCCGTCT